AGGTGAAGTAAGGGCCAAAGTGGTGTGTTGGGCAAAAGGAACACGGTTCCAGTCTCCCAGTGCCCTCAAACACCAGACTCCCATCCTCCGCCGACCCAGGGGCGCAACCCACGGCAAACAGGTTGCCCAATTCGGTCTTTCGACCAGCAATGGGTTGCTGTGGACCAATATGCCCCCGCGTCCACACGGGTGATTGAAGAATTCTTAGCCTCACCCAGCACGAGGAGGTGGCTCTTCGCGGGTGCCAATCGTATCTTAGACCTGTCTAATATGGGTGTAGGAGTGAGTGAGTAATATTTAACGTCACATCGGCAATATTTCAGCCATATCGTGACGAGAACAAGTTAATTTATATCAACATTAAAATCAATAAATTTAGAACATAAAAATCTGTCATCGAAGGACAGAAAAACTACTAGAGTATTACAGCTCTTAATTTAAAACTAGTACGCTATCATAAAAATGATATCAATATAGACAACAATACAATATAAAAACGGGCTTTAGATCACCAGCAACTGCAGGTAGATCACCATACTAAGGACCATGGGGACTTACAGTACTTTGGGTACCTGCATGGACCCTAGTTGGATTTTTATCAACCCTTCAGCAGCTGGCGATTTTGGTCAAGTTTATCCAAACTTAAAACGACAAAAAATGCTACATTTAAAAATCTGGTAAATTTATATTTCCGTTGAATGTTTAGGGACTTACGTACCCTCTCAGGGGGACAATAATTTTACAATACCCCCTTGTGGGTTATGGGTAAAGAGCACTAAAATCACTCAAGAAAGGGGAGAACACGTGACTAATGCATATTTTAAGGTAAATAGATCATCGTTGTGTGATAGGAACACTGATAACGAAACTGAAAATATAATCATAAAGCGTGACTCTTGTCATAAAATTATTTATGCTTCAATGCTGGTTGGACCTGATAAGGCAAACAAAACCAGACATAAATTTGGTGTCACTTGAGTATAATTATAGTGACAATATTTTCAATGTCAAGCTGTTAACAAAAGCAACAAAAAACATTTGTCATAATAGATATCAGCCAGACTGCACGTTGATGACCTCGCGCAAAATGTCGAGGTCACCTTGCCCCACCGCTGTGACACCCCAGTATCTTATTCAATGGCAATTCATCTGTGAAACCGAAAGAATATCCACGAAAACGCCTGCATGGGAAATGGCAATTGCATGGGACAACATGTTCTTAGTATGTACGTCAAATCTAGAAATGCCCTCACCAAGTCCAAACCAAGACCTTTTGAATTTAGAAATTTCAAGAAATAACTCAGCACTGGGGTATGGTACCAGGTTACACTGTACACAAACACTGTCAATAATTTTAAGTATGTATGTCCAATATATTTCAAATGTCTAGAACTCCTGAGATATGTTGTATGTCCGACATTTGTTTGGAAAAAGTGAAAATAATCCTGTCATTTGCATCACTTTTATAACCATATTGACACTGTTGAAGTATGGTAGATTCTGTTTCTAATTCCAGACCTGTAAGGAATTATACACATAACATGCATACACTCCGTTCGGAATACATGGAAATACCTCAAGTTATTACCATACTTTCCAAATATTTGAATACATGGAAATGTATTATTTCATGCAATGACACATTTTGACGACACTTACACTGACAACACCAGTTGTTTGTGAAACTCATTATCAGTATGGGATACATTTTGGAAAGTGGATATAAAATATAAATTTAGAAGGAAATGTGTCTGAAACGCAACTTGTCAACATAGACACGCAACATGTCTTAATGTGTTTTACCACAATAGGGGATAAATATTTTAATTTTAAAACTGTTAAGGATCTGTTTAATACTGTTCCTTTTCATTTAATTCTTGTTTTTTTTAAAGAAGTTGATTTAATTTATGAATTTTGATTTCTATGTTCTGTATATAGATGTATTTTAATGATATGTAGTTTATGATATGTAGCTTAGATTAGTAACTTATATTGTACCCTTAAAGGGGGTTAAAGTACTGTAAACTTATTGTCCTCCTGAGAGGGTACGTAAGCCCCAAAACATTCAAAGTAAATTTAAAACTACTACCATTTTAATCGTAGAATAAATGTTCGTTTAATTTGTGGCTAGATTATCTAAAATTGCTAATAGCTGAAGGGATGGTTTAAATCCAGCTAGGGTCCATGCAGGAAGCAAATGTACTGTAAGTCCCCATGGTCCCGTGTATGGTGATCTACCTGCAGTTGTTGGCAATATCTAGCCAATTTATATTGTATTGTCTTCTATTGTGAAACTGTTTTAGATTTAATTACTAGTTATAAATTCGAATCTGTGATAATCTAGTTATTTTACTGTCCTTCGTTGACAGGTTTTCACAATTTACCATTGGTTACTATGTAGAATATTAATTGTTCTCGTCACGATATGGCTGAAATATTGCCGATGTGACGATAAATTTTAACTCACTCACTTAATGTTGTTCCTAGTTGTGCTTCACTTTTCCAATCAGTTGGGTAGTTAAATACTCGGCCGACTCTTGCTGATCTTAACCGATATGTGACAAATATGGCCCACTCATTTCATTAATCTATACCATCATGTCGAGGAGAACAATAGCCGCGAATAGCTTCACGACCGCCTATTATCCGAGTCACTAGAAATATATCACATCACATTACATTGTATATAAACCACATTACAATTTGCCCCATATCTCCTGAATAGTTTAAGAAAATGTGTTAATATATGTCTATCCCGAAAGAAACAGATTCTTGGTATTGTTTATCTAACAAAATATATGTACACTAAACCCCAAAAGAAACGTTACCCTCCTTCCTTAATGACGGAGGTACCAATCTTCAGCCTGCGTTGTGATGCGTGGACGTCCACTTCTTGGTCTGTCTACGGTGACCCCAGTGTCCCTGAAGCCCTGAATAAGTCTTATAACCGTGATACGGTGGCGTCAGAGGGCGTTGGCAACCGCATGTATGTCGACTCCATCTGCACCATCCCAATGGCTCTTTCTCTCTCTACAGCTGTTAATTGTGGAATATTTCTCGTACTTGTGTATCATATCATGTATTCTAGGCTCTCTTTGTACCCTATAAATCATTCTACATGTGAAATGGATGCAAATACTGCTTGAATATTGCTGCGTTTTGGCGATTGATATTGCTATGCATTTGAGAATTTGGTTTCGTGATTTACATCAAGCTGTGTTATCAAGCTTTCTTGTAAACTAAACACTTCTAACATATCTTTGATAGTTTTTCGGTAATTCACAAAGGCAGGAAGGTAACGTTTCTTTTGGCGTCTAGTGTATGTAACAAATACCATGTTCTAAACTTCCCAAAGTCTCAAAACACATGTTTTTAATATAAAACTTTCTGTGAAAACCGTGGGATGTAATTAATAGCGTAATTTCTCAGATTCCCCGTCCTGTTTGGGCGTCAATAAGAGACCCGTACTTTTTAAGCAGATCTGCTGTTGTAGCAATCGTTATGTCAAATTTGACTCATGCAGTCTTGGGGTAAATTAATCACAGTCAATTAAATTAAGTACAAGTCATTAAAGTGAGTGAGTTAATATTTATCGTCACATCGGCAATATTTCAGCCATATCGTGATGAGAACAGTTAATGATTATATCATATATTAATAAAATTAGAAATTAAAACCTTTTGACGAAGGACAGTAAAACTACTAGTGTATCACAGATATCCATTTAAAACTAGTAATGAAATCTAAAACATGTTAACTAGAAATGACAAGACAATGTAAAAAGAGGTTATCGATTGCCAACAACTGAAGGTATATACAAGTCATTAAAATGCCGTGTGTTGTGTTAAAGTCCTTGTGATAAATCACATATCTGTATTCAATAAATAGAATGATTGTTAAAATTGCCTATCCAAAACAAATTCAATCACACAATGGGCTTGATCAACTGACTGTAATATCAACATGTTTTCATACACTCAGTCGTAAAAGTTTTCAGTCTAGACAATTTCAAACAAGTTTAGGATTCAAACGTTTCAGCTTACTAACAATTATGAATTACAAGAAAACTATACACTGCCCGTGACGATAGCGTCAATGGCTGCAGTTAACAGACATTCATGTTTGGTGGATGAGACATGTCACACTGTTATGTTTGGACGTTTCCTTTCGGAACATTAGTTCCTGACTTAATGGTTTTCCCTGAATAAATGATGTTACTGTATAACGGAAAAGAATTCGTGCTTTCGTGCGAAATGAGCAGTGCACGTAATTATGGGGTTAAGAGAAAAGCATGTTCTATGATGAATGTAGCAAGAATTTATTAAACACAATACCAATCCAACAGCTTAAAATACAGGAAAACATTAAACGGAAAACACCTGTGTGCCATAGTCAGCAGGACTAAACATATCCGCATAATTATTTTGAATAGGATCCTTGTTGAGTTTGAAGGTGAATCGGGACAGCTGCACTCCACTAATTGTGATCAAGCAAGATGAATAGATTAAAAACATCATTTGTGATATTTTTTATGGCTTACATATTGAGTTAAAGGAAAGGATATATCTTTCGTTTTAGGATAGACGCAGTTTCCCCGGATAGCATCACACATGTGTGGGTTTCAGGTTTCTAATTCTCAGAAAGCTGCAGGGTAGAATCTCGAGACAATTAATAAAATGAAAATGATAGGTGTGTTAAAAATATTCAATGGAAGATGAGGATTGTCGTTATACGCGTATAAATTGTGTTATACCATCACTTGACCGTTGTAAAAGCCTTCAACTTCTTGTACCCTGCAAGGCGAGTTCTTCCGTTCAAGCATATTGTGAATGACTACGACTTTCCAGTTTAAACCCAAGGTAGTACTTAACAAATATTTGTCCACCTTAAGTTCAACTTAAAACCATAAATTTACTTTCATTTGAATATGATTATATAATAGGGTGTACAATTCTTACAAATTTGTTACAGTGTAACAGCAGTAACAAAGGCAGACCTACCAGATGTGATCGAATACTGCAGGAATCCACTTCCAGCTCTAAATCACAACGCAAGTATCTACCTGCGTACTGGTACGCTTCACTTACAATTTGTCACATGACCATAGCTGGTTGGTACAGCCAATACTGCATAGTAATACGTCACATGCCTTGGTATTTAACGTCAGCCAATTGGTCAGTGGTAAGTGGGATGTGCATGGTAATGCATGATTGCATGCGTGCGTTCGCCTGCGTGATATACATCATATATTACTATGATATAATGGTGGTGGTGGATATGGCTACAATTGCTACGAATTTGTAAAAGCAGTAACAAAGGCACACCTACCAGTTGTGACCGAATACTGCACGAATCTAGTTCCAGTTCTAAAAGCCACGCCGCACCTCACCACTCCAGTTTCTACCTATAGTCCGCTTGACTTCATTTTCGTGTTGCTAAGTCATTTTATCAGTTGAATTAATTCTATGGTCGTTCAATTAATTCAACATAGGCCGACAGACAGTAATTGAGCTAACTCCGGAAGGCCATGTAAAGCGACATCAATAGCGACAGTGGGGCCGCTTTTGCTAGCTAGACGCTGTCTGGAGTTTGGATGACTGGTTACTGCTTGTTGATCAAATGTATGTCGCGCTCGCCTTAAAATGAGCAAACAAGTACAGTGCATTTTTAACCCAAACCGGTTAACACAAACACAGTATAAATGGGTCAAGTCATTCGAGGGAGACATGCACAAGGCGTTGTGTACTGTTTGTGATCGTATCATAGACCTGTCTAAAATGGGTGAGTGAGTGAGTGAGTGAGTGAGTTTAGTTTTACGCCGCACTCAGCAATATCCCAGCTATATGGCGGCGGTCTGTAAATAATCGAGTCTGGACCAGACAATCCAGTGATCAACAGCATGAACATCGATCTGCGCAATTGGGAACCGACGACATGTGTAAACCAAGCCAGCGAAACATTACTGTCCACCCGATCCCGTTAGTCGCCTCTTACGACAAGCATGGGTTACTGAAGGTTCATTCGAACCCGGACCTTCTCGGGTGAAGACGGTTGGAGGCATACTCTGGTCCCTCCTACTTTCAGTGAAGCAATCAAGACAGAGCATGAGCAATACTTAGAGAAAGAAAAAGACAAAAAGGAGACTGCTGAGGGAAAAGAAAGCGAAAAGATGCACCAGAAGTGATTGAAGAAATCAAAAAGAAAAGAGAAGATTTGAAACTGACATCGATGGACTGGACAAAAGTCCCGAAAACTGTATCAAAAAGCACAAGCTACAGGACAAATTACATTCTTCATTGAAAAGAACATCAAAGGAAAAATCTGAAGAGAAGTTGAGACTTGAACAGACATTAGCTGGTCATCTCGTTAAACTGAAGACAAAAGTGATACTTCAGCCAGTTCACTTACAACACGATGTAAAGATCAAAATAAAAGGTAATATTAACTGTATGTTTATGTAATTTTTGGTTAAAGGTGGTTATGGAAAACTGAAATATATCATGGAAAAGCATGGAATTTTGCCTATAAATTTCTGTACGAACCCTGCTATCGTCAGTGACTGGAGGGATGATGTAAATCCAGCTACAGTCTTATACCTAGTATGGTGATCTACCTTCAGTTGCTGGTGACCCATGCCCGGTGTTTATGTTATAATAATAATCAAGTTAATATTGATAAAGCGCCTGTTCCAACAAATTGCTCAGAGGCGCTCAGAAGCAAATGTACTGTAAGTCCCCATGGTCCCTAGCTATGGTGATCTACCTTCAGCTCCTGGCAATCTATAGCCTGTTTGTATATTGTATTGTCATCTATAGTTAAAATGTTTTAGATTTAATTACTAGTTTTAAATTTATATTTGTGGTAGTCTTGTTGTGTTACTGTCCTTCGTTGACAGGTTTTTAAAATTGACTATTAATTACTATAAATCTTTAACTGAAACTGATTTAACTGAAATACTGCTGATGTGACTTTAGCATTCGCTGGCATTTGATTTTTCAACATTGTGTACCACTATCCAATATGACAAACGTAAGGAAACACCTCATTCCTTGATCAGCTGCTTAATGAACATTTCCTCCTGATCAGTGGTCCATGATTCTCTATTATCTCACTAAGTACTGGTAGTCACCTACTACCAACACGTCACCCCCTCACAACCATCAGACATAGTTATAAAACAACAACCTTCTTACAACCATCAGCTGCTTAATGAACCAGTTAATCCAGCTACAGGGGAGTGATTCTCTATCATCTCCCTAAGTACTGGTAGTCACCTACTCACTACCAACACGTCACCCCCGACATAGTTAAAACAACAACCTTCTTACAACCATCAGCTGCTTAATGAACCAGTTAATCCAGCTACAGGGGAGTGATTCTCTATCATCTCCCTAAGTACTGGTAGTCACCTACTCACTACCAACACGTCACCCCGACATAGTTAAAACAACAACCTTCTCACAACCATCAGCTGCTTAATGAACCAGTTAATCCAGCTACAGGGGAGTGATTCTCTATCATCTCCCTAAGTACTGGTAGTCACCTACTCACTACCAACACGTCACCCCCAACATAGTTAAAACAACAACCTTCTTACAACCATCAGCTGCTTAATGAACCAGTTAATCCAGCTACAGGGGAGTGATTCTCTATCATCTCCCTAAGTACTGGTAGTCACCTACTCACTACCAACACGTCACCCCCGACATAGTTAAAACAACAACCTTCTCACAACCATCAGCTGCTTAATGAACCAGTTAATCCAGCTACAGGGGAGTGATTCTCTATCATCTCCCTAAGTACTGGTAGTCACCTACTCACTACCAACACTTCACCCCGACATAGTTAAAACAACAACCTTCTCACAACCCTCAGCTGCTTAATGAACCAGTTAATCCAGCTACAGGGAAGTGATTCTCTGTCATCTCCCTAAGTACTGGTAGTCACCTACTCACTACCAACACCTCACCCCGACATAGTTAACGAGCTTAGCAGCAGTTAATCCAGTTACAGGGGAGTGTGTACAGCTAACAGAACAGCCAGGCGAGGGGCTAGAGGTACTACTTAGTAGCTTGTAACAACAGGGGCCTAGCGGGACGGGGGCTAGGGGAATGATGCCCCTTGATCCATGGGGCATTTGTATACAAATGTGGTGAACAAAGATATAGCTGCATATCTATCTTCAGATTTTCAGGACAATTTGTCAAAATTGAAAGCAAATGTCATTTGAAGTTTACCGAGAAAGCAATATGTGAAATGTTGGACTTTCTCATTGATAACATCTTTGTGAAATTTGTGGGTAAAATATTTCGCCAAGAAATAGGCATCCAGATGGGCACCAATGGGCTCCCATCCTTGTGGATCTGTTTCTTTATGCACACGAATCAGAATTTCTGCTTGTGTTGGCAAAATCAAAACAAAGTAATCCGGTACATCGATTATCTAACATCGTTCAATAATCATTAAATTGCTTTTCACTGATTTACCCACCTGAACATGAAATGAAGGACACAAGTGAGACCGCCTCAACTGTTTCATAGTGGATTTATGCTGATAGAAAACTCTCCACAAGGCTGTATGACAACGGGGGGTAATTTCAGCTTTCCCATAGCCAACTTCCCTTTCATGTCGAGCAATATTTATCAGCTCCAGCCTTTGGGATTTACATTTCACAACTTCTGAGGAATGAATGAATGAATGAATGAATCTCTTTATTTCCTCCAGATTATATTCCGAAGATCATTATAAACATGTACATGAAATATTTACAGCACCATAATCACAGCAATATATTCACAACACATTCATATAGTCATATACATGTATATGTACAAACAAAAGATGAAAGGTCTAGAATGCACAGTTTAGTGAGTGAAGCTAGGAATATAGGTATTTACCGAAGAGGACAATCATACATCTCCGTGACATTTCATCAATATCGTTAGTAACTAGTAGTTCACCCCAAGAAAATAGTGATAACATTTTATCTTCAGATAATAATTCTATTTGTACATAAACATCCACATCAAAGAGATCTCTAAGTTTTGAAAAGAAATTATTTCTGTTGTACATATAGTGTTCACAGTGTAGAATTACATGGCAGTCATAATCATTACAATATCTTTTGCAGAGTTCACAATGTTTTGAGAATTTTCCCCTTGAGCTGATTTGTACACAAAACTGTAATATATCTTTAAACTGTGGGTAAAAATACATCAAACAATACAATCTATGTACACCAAAGAAATTGTGGGTCAAGCGATATCTATTCATATCGTGCCTTACACACACTTGAGAAACCCATCGTTCAGTTTCAGATTTATTTATCCAATAATAGGTATTCTTCGCCATGACGATTTACATGGAAACCTTCCAAAATCGAGATAGTCACTAAGATAATTGAAGAGATTGTTTTTAAACTGGTTTGAATAAGTGTGTCACATATACTGTGTAACACAGCTGTTCTGTTTTGAAAGGTGGCTAAATGTACACAGAAAATATCCTTAAATGAAGAGTTACACTTGCTGTTGCACAGCTTGCCGAGAAATAATAGTCTACATTTATCCATATAACCATCCATGCTCCACAATCCAAGGTTACCTAGCACTGAAGCAGAGGAAAAGCGCTTACCGAAACCCTGAATGCATCTGGCAAAATATCTCTGTGTACTTTCTACCAAGTCATACTCTTTACCTCGAAGAATGGGTAAAAGTTCACAACCGTAAAAGCTCGTTGGAAGTATTATTCTTTTCCATATTTTAACAGAAGAAGTAGGGTGGAGATCGTTACCATTTAAAACCAAGACTTTTTAGAGAATTTACAGATTGCCGTGCTCTCTGGCAGTATGAATATACTCTAGATTTTGGGGATAGATCGGACGAAAGTAAAATGCCTCCATACTTAACACAATCACTTATTGGTATGTCTGAATCACCAAATTTGAAAGAATAATTACCCAGACGTTTCTTATATGAGACCGCCTCAACTGTTTCATAGGGGATTTATGCTGATAGAAAACTCTCCACAAGGCTGTATGACAAAAGAGATGATTTCAGCTTTCCCATAGCCAACTTCCCTTTCATGTCGAGCAATATTTATCAG